TGTAGAAGGCAAAAGGAACAATCTGACGGAGAGGAGAAAGATTCTAAATGCACCCAGAATTTGTTTTCTTGTAGACATTTCATCACCCAAGTAGGTAACGTTATCAATGGTGATGATGTTACCTAGTTGGATAATGAAACATCTTCAAGAAAACAACCAAGCTCAGGGAGCACTTAAGACCCCTAAGGTAAGGTAAAGGGGAAGCACATACAGATTTGCAAGATTCTGCTAGCAAGCTTTACAATAAAAGTAACACAGACTTACCTGACTTTGGTTTCTTAGTCCAATCTACCTTGAAGGACTGACAAGCAATGAAGGGGAAAAATGGCAAACTTACTGATAATTGAATCGTAGGAGTCAGCAGGAAATCACTGGGCCAAGACTAACACTGAGCAATCCTGTTTTGTGGGGAAAGGTAGTATTTTTTTCCCTTATCTTCATGAGTTCTGTAAAGACTTTTTGTAGTCTAGTGATTAAAGTATTAGGCTGATAAGTGACTAGAGACCAAATCAGTTTCTCCTAGCCCTATTCACCCCACAGGGCATAACCGAGAGATTCTCAAGTAAATTGCTCTGAGCTTCTGAAAGAAAGTTGGGCTATAATTCTAACAAATTCAGAAATGAATCTTTTTGTTCTAAGCCTCCCCATCAGGTACAGCACTATTAAAATATAATGAGAAAATCCAACTTGTTGGAATTCTCATGGCTGGACAGGGTTGGCCTCTGGCCTTTTCTGAAAAGAGGCCGATTTTAGTTTCCAGACAGACTTGGATTTCCAAATGGGCCAATGAAAGGGAAGACAAATAATATTAACATATTCATTCATGAATACTTAACCAAGTGTACTGAGTCAATGCATTCAACTGGGTTCATGCAACACAGTGAACCGTAAACTAGCCAACTGTTTGTGCATTAAACACAATTACCTATTGTATTTTCTGACTTGCAAGTTCTTTTTATAGCTTCATATCAATAATGTCAATAGTTTTAATCATCTAGAAGCAGCAGGATGCATATGTTACTGCACAGGCAACAGTTAGTAAAAACCTACTTTTAAAATACATTTTTATTGTATCGTCATGAGAATGCATGACGATTGCATCGTTCAAGTGATACTGAAGTTTTCCCCCCAATGAAATGAAAGCTTTTCTCTAAAAGTAGTTTTAAATGTGAGTTCTGTAGAAATGTGAATCAATAAGATGCACCTGCTTTCTTTGCTGTTAGGCAAAAAAAATGACTATATTGGTTTCCTTTTAGCTAGGCTTTTTTTCCTGAATTTGTCTGCAGGAAGCCTGAAGAACAAGTGGCATTCGTTGTGTTCAAATGAGACAATTGTTCATGGTTAGTCAAACCATACTTAGCCAGTGTCTTGATTTGCTTGGCATGCTGACTGCAGTACTAAATTCAGAGGTGGTATTCAACAGATTCTGACCAGTTCTGGAGAAGGTAGCGGAAATTTTGGGTAGTTCAGAGAACTGGTAAATACCACTTCTGATTGGCCCTGCCCCCATTTATTCTCTGCCTCCTGAGTCCCAGCTGATTAGGAGGAAATGGGGATTTTATAGTATCCTTCCCCTGCCACGACAGCCACGCTAACAGAACCGGTAGTAAAAAAATTGAATCCCACCACTGATTAAATTTTCTAGAATTGTCTGCTTGTGAATTAGACTGTCCCTAAATATGATATAAATACCTGAGCTGAAATTAGTTTTAGCATTATAAACAGAAATGTTCTATTTATCATAATTTAAAAACCTCAACTCAGAGGAATATGATTAAAAGTTCAGATACAGACAATTGTATCAAGGTTTTTAATACAGAATATGTTTCCTAATTATAAAGTCTTTATGGGGAAAGGTGGTTTGGCTATCTGTCATTTAATCCTGTCAAAGTGAAATGTAAATTTTGCCATTATTTTTGGCATGAATTTTTTAAAACTTATTAAAGACTGCTTTATATTCTCTTGTGAAATTACATATAGGCTTTATTTAAAAAAAGTTTTAATTTGACCAATATCTATCAGAAAAAAGAGAAAGGTACCTTGTTACTTTTAAAGCAAGTTGTTCTTTGTTAACAAAACATACTAAACAGAAGCTAAAGAAACCACAGCTGAGCTTACAAAACCCATTATTTATCCATTTTGTGTTACAAGATCCCAGTTAGTTTATTTAAGAAACAATGTGAAGATTACTACACCTTAATATATCGTATGAGCATAAACATGTGGCTTGTTCGCTCATGCTTTACTTTTTTTGTATGAATCCACTGATTAAAACCAGCCAATTGTGGTTTAGTTAATAAAACTGTAGAGGAACTCAACAGCCTAACATAGTAAGGAAAACAGCTGCTGTGAAAAACTGCAGATGTGTTTCCTTCAGTGCAGTCTTTGTAATCTATTGTGATTATCTGCACTTATTACAAGTAATTAGGCTGTGAGAAGTGTGTGTGAGGGGGGGAGACAGAGAAAGAGAGAGAGAGAGAGAGGGAGGGAGGGAAGGAGGTGGTGGTATCATATCCTGCTAAGAAATTGCTTGAATATCCTACTAAATTATCTGCTGGAGTCCAGTCATGGTTTAGTTCAATAACTTTAGCTCTCTACAGCTTTTTTTCCCAGTATTTGGCTAATTTCTATTTTTAGTGTTTTGTTGCTGTGCTGTTAAATTCATTTCAAAGTGACATGCTTGCAGCAATTTTTTCTACCTTATATTTTTCCTTTCTTGATTACTGAGTAATAACAAAGTTAATATCTAGAGCCATGAAAAAGGAAGCTATATTTAAAGCAATGCTTGTGTTATTTTGGCTATTTGCTCATAATTGTTTATACTGTAGGGAAAGTGTGGGTCTGCTTAGACTTGGCTTCATTCCAAGAAATGCTGATTTACCTACTCCAGGTGAAGGCAGCAAAAATGACCAAGCCTTTTCCTGTTCCTGCTCGCTCTTTGGGAAAGGACAGTCCAATCTAAAGCAAAAAATGATGAGAAGGAAGATTTTGCTTGACTTTCTACCTCTGGGTTTAAAGGCAAAGTTGTATCTGTGAAAGCCCCTTCAAACATGTAAGTTTGATTGAATGATGTTTCTCTACAGTTATACATATTTATTCTGTGAGTGAATTTAAAGGAAAAAGTATGAACCTGTGAAGAAACAAGTATATATTTTTGCCAAACATTAAATTATGTTAAGTTTTTCATTACAATCAACAGAAAATATTTAACAAAACAAAGTTGAGAATTGGTGATACTGTTAAAGTCTGTTAAATACTGTTAAATTTTATTACTTCTATTTTAAAGCCTATGCTTTCTACACTAAAATGGTGCTTTTTATTAATAGGAAAAACATATCATGTTAGGATAGCAGAAATACATTCCATTTTAGGCATTATCCAAAGCAGGGCTCCTGAAAGTTGTTTAAGAGTCCAAGATCATTGAGCTGCCCTAATGTCTTCAGATTTACCTTAATTTCTTTAAGTTATTATGCTAACATAAATTTCAGATAAAGTTGCAACTCTTTAAAGTCAGATTTTAGAAATCAGCACATTTTATGATTGGTAAGCAGTGTAATTTATGAATATGCAAATACCTAAATGCTAATATTAACCTGTAAGATGTTTCTGTATATTGATTGGGGGAGGGCTTTGTATAAACTTTATTATTTTTATTATGTGAATATTTTAGAGGTGTCTTATTAAAATGCATATTTAAAGAAATAGCCTCCTATTAAACACTAGTGTCTGACCCATTGAAGTCAGAGGACATTTCTCTAAAATGGTCAAAGCGAGCATGGATATATTTTTCAAGTCTAATGCTACATATTTTAAAATTCCAAATCTGGGTTTTTCTAATAATTACAAACCTAGGGAAGGCTACTGTAAGATAAGGAAAGAGATGAAGTTTAGTTTGATTTACAATGTTAGGTTTCATTTTTTTTCAGAGACATTAATTTAAAATAATGTAATTTCACAATAAGCAATATGTGACTATGTGGTGTTTTTTCCAAAAGAATAAATATGTACGATCACATTTAACAAGCCATATCAAACTTTAAATGTAGTTTTTATAAAGCTTATAAAAGCTTATAAAAGCTTTATAAAAGGTTTTTTATGAAACTTGTAGAAGCAGCACAGTATTGCTAGTGTGGAAATTCTTGAGGTGCACCTTATGTTAGATTTGTGTTTTTCTGAGGAAAGTTGGTGTCATTTATTTTTGGTACCAAACATGCTCATTCTCTCTGTCTCTCTCTTTTTTTAATGGATAAATGAGAGTGTGCTGAATATTGATGAGGTTTTTTCCCTTGGAGGGCTATCACTATTCATACCCCCTTGGAATACAAATGCCTTTCTGAATGGTCACTGAGACCAAATCCCTCAGTAATCTATAACATCATTAACCTATAACACTTCTTCCAATGAACCATTGCATAGTTAGGTAGTGCTGTTTATATATTTAAAGTACAGCACTGTGTGTGTCTGCATGTGTATTAGAATGGAATGTTTGTGTTTCAAAGAGAGAGAAAAATAGAAGCTGATTCTCATAAAAGCAAGAGAAAATTAATATTGTTTACCAAAAACAGCTTGACTGAATTAATCTATTTTCTGTACCACAGAAAGCTACATAATGTCCCAGATTTCCTGTTGAATAACCAAAAAGTTGGTATGGATCATGAGGTGTAATTTTATTTATTTATTTGCTCCCCTTTGTTTTTTGTTCTTTTCTTCCTTCTCCTCTTCCCCAACACCCAATTCTAGGAAAGGAAATTGTTGAAATCCTGACTCTCGAGGCACTCTGTCACCAACTGACCTCCTGCGAGTTCACAATGCAGGAGATGGAGGAGAGCGTTCCTGCTGTCCAGACACAATTCCTTTCATCTAACCAGAAGTGGGAGGGGAGCCGAGGAAGGCTGAAAAGGCAACGGTACCAGGAACTGCCATTGGAAGGAGCTGTCTGCACCTCACAGTGCTCTACTGAGCATGTCTCAGAGGAGCCTTATGCTGGCAACACATTATGCAAAAAGGCAGCTCGAGCAGCGGAGAGAGAGTCAGAGCAAGCCTTCTTTCCCTTTGCATCACCACTGCTCAAAAGGACCCCTAGATTACTTGAGAGGGCCTGCTTGCCTGCCCAGGTGAACAAAGCCAAGCACCATGGCTTGATTCTTGACGTCGCCCGACAGCTAAACACCATGGGGAACCAAGATGGGAAGCTGAAGAGGAATGCAGGTGATGTACACGAAGGCGGCGAGGATGCTTCTGGGCCCAGGGATGCTGAGGGCACAAAGAAAGGAGGGGGGAGCAAAAAGACCCTGGGCAGGCACAGCAAAGGGGGAGAATCAAAGAAGAAGGGCAAATCTGAAGCCAGGTCATCTGTGTTTTCCAATCTGCGCATCCGGAAAAACCTCTCCAAGTCTAAAGATGGAAACAGCAGCTCGAGAGAGGACGTGTTAGAAAGCCAGGCCGTGCACACAGGAGAGCTAGACAGTGCTCACTCCATTCTCAGCAAAACTCCTGATATAAGCATTTCTGCAGATGAAGGGGGTCTCTCGGATACCGATGCGGATCATTTTGAAAATACAAATGAAACTCGCCCTGCAGCTGCCGAGCCGCAAGATGGACAAAGAACCAGCTCCGGCTCCGATACGGATATATACAGTTTTCATTCAGCCACCGAACAAGAGGATTTGCTTTCTGATATTCAGCAGGCAATTAGACTGCAACAGCAGCAACAGCAGCAGCAGCAGGGGACAATTAACATTGGAACTGAGCAGCAGGGCACCAAAACAATGGCCCTACACATGGCTAATTCTCAAGCAACCCCATTAGATTTTGAAAGGTTTCTTTCATTCAGCAGTGACAAAAACAGTAGCCCGGATACCGAGCAGCCGGTCTCTGCTAAATCAGAAATCGTAGAATATGTCCCGAGCTGTCAGCCTGAAGTGCCAGAAAGGGCAAATGGAATGGGGCACTCCTGCAGCAGTGTGTTTGAGATGCAGGAAGGACCCGAGCAATTGTCAGCAGAAGAGGAACAATCTGCTGGGGAAGGAGGAGACCACTTCTCTACTCCCAATGCTGCAATTACAGAAGAGGGGGCTCTGCTGGGCAGTTCGGTCTTTCATTTCCCACCCCCGGCTGGGGAATCTGAGACTGAAAGCGTTGCTGTTGAAGGTACAGGTGGCGAAAGGGAGGCTGAACCAGCAGATGCAGGCGGGGATCAGGTTGCTGTGGCCACGGACAGGAAATGGAGTTTGTCAACCAGCAGAGAAGCAGTGGAGGAGGGCTTTTCCGTGGAAATGAAAAATGGGACTTATTCCTCAGAGGATGTCTCCAGCAGTCCAGTGCACACTTCCAAATGTTTTAAATCGTACCCTTTCATCAACCCCTGCTACATCAAAACCACCACTAGGCAGCTGAGCTCTCCGAACCGTTCACCCGGCCTCTCCCCCTCACAGAGCCCTCTCTTTAAAAGGAGACGGGAGCCCGCTCGGCTAAAAGAGAAGGTGACAAGTAAGAAACAGAGATCTGCCAGTTTGGCAGGGGCATTTAGCCGATCTGCGGACTGGACTCATGAGGTTTCGGATCAGCCCAGTGAAATAGCTCAAAAGTCAGGCTCTGCAGATTTTTTGGAATACAGGCAGACCAGAGATGGTATCCAAGGGGAAAGAGTGCCTTTGAATCATTTGAGAAAGTTCTCAGGAATGTCACCTTCTACTGATGCCTTCCCTAATGTTTTTCGGGGTAAGTGTCCTGTGTAAACAAACTCTTGCTGTAGCTTCATCTCTGAAGCAGAAACATCTAAGCATAACAATAACTTCTTTTCTCTTGTTAACTTGACTTTCATTTACAGCTCAGCTGAGATTCCAACCTCTGCAAATAACTACAGGAATTCTGTATTTCCAATAGAAATAAGTGTAATGCTTGTTGCAAAATTCCTCATTAACCCATGTTAGAAGTACTCATAAGGCAAGTGATGTACTACATTATAAACTATCAGTGAGCTGTATGCATCAAGGCCAATAAATATAATTTATAGATTTGTGTGGGCCTGTCCAGACATACTGTCCTCCAGATATGTTGGTGTGTTTATGATGACTGAGGATTCTGCTTACTGTCTTGGAAAACCATAATGGCTCAGGAGTCTTGAGAAATGTAGTCCCAACACAACTAGAGGCTTTCATTTTGGAGGAAAATGATCCAATGTGCCCATAGAACTTGTTAATAATAATAATTAATTTTCTGCATTGACTGTGATATGCAAATATTTTATAGCTTTGATAGAGGTTTATTCTGGATCCTTTGTAAATGTGATTTTAAATACAGGGATTTCTGAAAGTGTAAAAGTGACCATAGTTGGCCAATAGGTTAATGGTTTAGTCTAGACCAGAGATCTTCAAACTTGGCAACTTTAAAACTTGTGGACTTCAACTCCCAGAATTGAAGAGTTAAAGTCCACAAGTCTTAAAGTTGTCAAATTTGGGGATCCCTGATCTAGACAGAATCCTAACATTTCATCTGCTGAACCAATCTGGCCTTTAGCTGCCACTTACAAATAATGTCTTTTTCTAAAGAATATTACCTTTCATACCTTATTCCTTTCTTCACATCTTTCCTTTAAGACTGATCATTGTTACCTTTTTTTTTTAAAAAAAAAAAGCTAAAATAACACAAAGGGCAATTAATAGTTGCACCAAAGGCCATCCATCCACTCACATCATTTCTGAATCAGGAACCCCTACCAAGTTGAAGAGGGCCCTGGATCTCCTGCAAGCTTTGAAAAGCTGAGGTGCTGGATCCCTCTCTGATACCCACAATCCAGGAGCTCCTTTTTCTGTCCCAAACACCTTGCCTTGCCTCCATCCAGCATTTCTTGTGATCTGATTGTAATGCCCATGAAGTCCCTATAGAGGATCAGAGAAAGGAAGGGAGCAGAGCAGTTGGGTCCAGCACTTAATTCTGTGCTAAGTTTAGGTTTAAATAGTGCTTATTAGATAGGAGGTGACATCTCAATTCCCTCCACTTTTTCCAAAGCCCAGCCTGGAAGTGAATAGAGACATAATCTCACATTCCTTTTAGGAATCTACTAGCACTCCAAGGACTTGTATGTTGAGCAAAGGACCCAAAGACATTTGGGGAAAAGAAGTGATATTGTAATAGTCCCATTCCATACTTCTCAGGCCAGCCTGTGTTTTTCATTTTCTAATGCTGGGGCCAGTAACTACTATATTACACAATGTGAGGATTCTCACTACTCACCCAAACATATTGCATGTTGACACCAAGATTGAGGCTCCATTTGTATTTTTCTTTTTAATCTAGATTTTTATACTGAACTCTGTCCATTAAGGGACATGGTGGCTTAATGGCTGAGACTCTGAGTTTGTTGATCAGAAAGGTAGGCAGTTTGAATCCCTACAAGTTAGCGCCGTGTAACTTGTCCCAGTTTCTGCCAACCTAGCAGTTCAAAAGCATGTAAAAATGCAAGTAGAAAAATAGGGACCACCTTTGGTGGGAAGGTAACAGCGCTGGCTCTTTAGCTTTGAAATGGAGATGAGCACCACCCCCTAGAGTTGGGAACAACTAGCACATATGTGCGAGGAGAACCTTTACCTAATCCATTAGGCAACATGTGGTTTTTAAGGTACATTCAGCATGAGCCAATGACTCATTGGCTTAACAATCAACCTCTCATTTGCAAAGTGTTCAATCAGTGATTGAGTCGATTTGCAATAAGAAGATTTTCCCAGATAGAAGATCTAGATGTCTCCAGGACTCCCTTCTCCCAATCTATCCATCCATAAGATCTTGTAGAAGATCTTACTTTAGGTCCCCTCATTTAATGACTGCCATTTTCAGGGGCCTTGGAGATGTGCCTTTTCAATCAGTGTCCCTTCTCTTTAGAGTAGCATTTACCCAAGGTCCAAATCTGAACCATACCCTGCTAGATTTTAGAAAGACTCATTCAAATATGTTTTTTTTCCCAGCAGACCTTAGTGGAGGGAATGTTGTGAATGACCCCTTTTGTAATGTGATGTTTAACAAATATAGAGGTCTATTTATCTTTGGTTTTCTGCTGTCTTCTGTTTGGATTATATTATTTGTATACAGTAGCTTAAGAACTTATTTAGATCAATAGGACGTGCGGGTGACTCTGATCTGGTTTCAATTGGAATAGCATAGAAATCTAGCAAACACATCTCATCTATTACATTTATCACCTACACTGACACCTATCCATAGAATGAAGTTGGGTTAGAGAACCATTTCAAGAAATACAGACAAATTTTAGCTGGTATCTTCATAGTCCTGGGGAGCTTTGTTATGAGAGTAAGTTTCCATTTTGCAACCTCTCCCATTGATTTCATGGTGAACAAAGTGAAATTCAATTTAGATTGTTTGGATCAAAAAGTTGTTGACCATAGATATAAAATCCATGTAGTCCTAGGAGTGACATTTAAATGCTTTCCAAATAAAATGTTACTACAGATTATGATGATTGATGGTATTTGATTTCTTGTTTAAAATCTGCAATGTATGTCAAATATATTATAACTTGGGCAGAGATAAATATGTGGTCCTTTATATGTGTCACCTTACCCTTTTGCCTAATTATTAAGAAATCATTATGATTTCTTTGATTTTAGTGTCAGGGTTCCAAGTAACACCCACAACCAAGTAAGACTCAGAGGCAACAGTTCCTCAAAGATCCATTTTATTAGAGATGTCATATTGGCACATTTGGGAAAACCCAAATCTGAGAGTTCCTGGGTTTTCCCCACCCAAAGGAAAGTCAACATCCCTTCCCATGCACCCACATGTCCATCACATAGTCCAATCAATCAACTGTTCCAACTGGAGATGCCTCCAAGTCGTGCCTCTCCAGGTGCAGGCTGAACATCCTTGACTCTGAGTGAAATAATGTTGTTATGGCTAAATAACTCTACCAACTCCATACAAATCCCCTCCCACTTTCCCACAGCACTAAGTGTGGCAGCTCTGAAGATCCAAAGACAAAGATGGCCTCCAGGGCTGATATTTAGCTTATTTCTGATCTCCTGTTCCTGTTTTGCTATAAACATATTGACAAACTAAGAGACTTTGCGCTATGAGTTTTTCATCTTTTCTTTCTTTGGTATTACTCAGGTAGCAATACATAGGGGCAAAGCAGCCTGTAATTCTCCAGAAATTCTTGAACAGCAAGTCTCCATGTTTCAGCAATTTATGGGAATCAAACCTTGCCCATCCTTCATAGCATTGCAGAAATATGCTCTAGGTATTTTCTTCCTCATTAGAATCATTCCTTTCAAAGTATTGTTATAATGTTGATTATATCTCCGCTATATTTTATTAAATATATCTAACTTAACATGTACATGATACCCTGGAAATATACAATGAAATCAAAGTAAAAAATAAACAAATCAAATTTAGGGGAAGTATTGAATTGGTTTCATTTCTTTTTTAGCTAAGGGGCTAGTTCAGAAAGTAATCCAGAATTCATTCAAGTCAATGACAGGGTAAAATAGATGATAGAATGTGACACCTGGCAGAGAGGAAGACACAAAATCTTCCTGGAGGCATAGATTGAAGACAATAAAGTACATTGAGTTGTATTAAACTGATACAACAAGCTGGGGAAAGTGTAGGACAGAAGTATTTAATACATTGAGTTATTTTTATAATCTTTCTCTTAACAGTTGAATACAATTGAATCAATTACTACCACTTAGACATAGTGCTTTTAATACACACCCACAGTTAATTTAAGCGTAATTCACTTAACCCAATTTTGATAATTCATATGACTCCATACTATATTCCATACATCCAGACTATAAAGACATTGCCTGAATTTGTACAAGAGTCTAGGCTATGATTAGTTGCCATGCTAGTGAGCCAATGAAGACAGCTATATAATGATAAGCAGTGTGATGTCTTTTAAAAAACGAGTCAAGCAATCACATTATTATCATAAGCTGTGTTTTAGAATGTATGGAAGTTTATTAAGCATACAGACATAACAGGTAGAATGTAATGGGTAGATTAGAATTAATAGAAGGGGCTGTGTAATGTTGCATAGTATCAGCTGTTTGCAACCTTAAACTAAATAAGTCTTTTGCTGCAGATGTGGTGTAGGTATCAAGGATACCTGTGTGAACCTGGAGGGGAGGTTAATTTAAGGAGTTGCAGATAGGGATCATATGTATATGACCCTACACATTGCAAAGCCTCTGAATCCGAAGTGTTGCCTAACCCTACTATATTATTGTAACAGCTTGAACAGAAATCCAAAATAAATGTAATGTCAGCGTACTGGGTGGGATTCTGATGTAATTTCCAGTATTGGGATAATGTCAGTGTTCCAAGTATCATGTAGAATTAAATCAGTGTCCAAGGCAAAATGATTCTTAAAGTTCCAATTTAATAAATCAGACATCTTGGCATTATGCTATGAAATCCCAATACTGGCAATTACATCAGAATCCCACCCAGTTAAAAGTTCATGATCTTTTCCCCACACCCATAATCCATCACATGGTCCAATCTTCTTCTTCCACACTAGCACCCATGCCCAGCTGCTTCCGGTCAGGTGCAAAGGTGCGGAGACTAAAGATGACCTTGAGCTTCTAGAAAGGATTTTTTTATTTTGAAAACAACACATTCTACCCCTTGCTATTTCCCCACCTTAATGAGAGTGTGGCAGGCCAAAGATTCTTAAAGGAACCGCTGCAGGCCTGACA